TGGAGAAGAATGATTTAGACTGAGTTTCAGGAACAACTTTCAGCTCCAGAACTTTTTATCCCATCCCGATAGAGCAAGTTACTGTTGCTGCTGCTTCCTCTGTAGGTCTGATGAGTCAGAAGCTGCTGGCTTCAGACCTTTGGCTATAATCCATCTCAGTGAAATGCATGCCCTACTCCCTGCTTCCTTCTGCCTGTGATGCATGTGAATCAAAGTCTCATATAACGTTTTTAGATTCCACATATATGTGAGGTCATATAGTATTTATCATATAGTCATATAGTATTTATTTCTGTGCCTGACTTTTTTTTCCACTTAACAGGAGTTCTTTTAGATTTATCCGTGTTGCCATAAATGAAATAATTTCCCTGTTTTATAAGGCTTAATTGGTGGAAGAATAAGCTTTAGTGATCTATTGCACAGGAAGATGACTACAATAAATAATAATGCAGTCAGCCGTGGTGGTTCACAATTATAATCCCAGCAGTTTGCGAGGCCAAGGCAGGCAGATCCTCTGAGGCCAATAGTTCGAGACCAGCCTGGCCATCTCTATTGAAAAAAAAAAATACAAAAATTAGCCAGACATGGTGACGGACACCTGTAATCCCAGCTACTCGGGAGGCTGAGGTAGGAGAATCGCTTGAACCCAGGAGACAGAGGTTGCAGTGAGCCAAGATTGCTCCATAGCACTCCAGCCTGCGTGACAAGAGTAAAACTCCGTGTCAATAAATAAATAAATAAATAAATAAATAAATAAATAAATAAATAAAATAATGCATTGTATGTTTCAAAATTGCAATTTTAAATGTTTTCATTACAAAAAATGTTAAGTATGTGAGGTGATGGATTTATTAGCCTGATTTAATCATTCCACCTTGTAAACATATATCAAAACAGCACATTTACTTATATAAATATATACAATTATTTTTACAAATTAAAAACAAAATTTTTAAACGCCTCATGTAAGTTAATCAGAGGGTAACCTAAACACAAATAAAAGCCTTAGAACTATAGTTTTAAGCTTTCTGGCTTCAGCATGTTAGAAAGTATTAAAACTGATACGTTATTTGCTTCAGTTATACAATTAAACATTGGAAGAGTCAGAGAGAACAGAATGTTTACAATTGGAACTCTGCCAAAAATTTGGATGATATGAGCATTTTGGCTATAGATTGAAAGTGTTAGATTTATTAAGACAGGGAATTCTTCACCAAATAGTTATCGATCATCAAATACATATATAGAGATGAGTTTTAAGAGTGAGTCACAAACATATGCATGTGTTATAAGAAACATACAATCTAAAATATATGTATTATATATACTATAAAACTTATATACAATATTTTATATTGTATAAATTATATATTTATATATTATACATAATATATAACATAAAATATTTTATATTATATAAATATAATGTATATTTTTATATAAATATTAAATATATAAACATGTTTATAATATATAATATATAATATATAATTTATATAATGTATAAATTATATATGTTTTGGGATCATTATCAGTAGAAGCAAAGTCTGAAGTGTGTTGTTTTTTTTTCCCAGCAAATTTATTTATTTTATTCATTTATTTTTTTGAAACAGGGTCTCACTCTTTTGCCCACATTGGAGTGCAGTGGCGTGGCCTTAGCTCACTGCAACCTCCACTTCCCAGGCTCAAGGAATTCTCCTGCCTCAGCCTCCCAAGTAGCTGAAGTGTGTTATAATCATGATATTGTCCCACTGAACAGGAGTTAAGTGCAGCTAGAGATTGATTCTTCTTGATAGATGTGAGGTTAAATCAGCACAAGCTGGAAGCTGGGGTAAAAAAACAGGGAAAGCACCATGGGAGACCTGAGGCTTCAGCTGTATTTTAAAGATGCTATGAACAATCATGCTTATTGTGTACATTGTAAAATAATTTAAAATAGTACGTGTCAAGCACTGTGCCAGGTGCTTTCACATATATTCATTCTCGTTTAATCTTCATACCAACTTTTGAATGTAGATATTATAACTCACATTTTACAAGTGAGGAAACTGAAGTCTAAAGAAACTGAAGTTGTAATAACCTACAAAAATTATGAAGCTAACAGCCAAGAATTCTAGTCTTAAGCTAAATATTTGCCCCCAAATCTCATCCACTTTCCTAATATTTTCCTACTTACTCAATTTCCAATGAAGCAGTTTTCAAGGTTGAAATATGGTATTTGTTGGAAGATAGTGAACATGAAGCAGTGAATTAGAAGCACCTGGAAAAAGATACCAGAGAAATTCTTCTGTGGATCTTAAAATATAGTCTGATTTGCTTTGATGAAAGAACGAGAAACATAAAAGGGAAAAAGCAGAGAGGTGGTTCTCTGGGTAATAAACTTAATCAAACTAGTTCTACAGGAACTTACTGCTTCCTAGTGGCACAGAGAGTCTTAAAAAAATGGCAGGAAAACTGAGGCACAATATATTTAATACTTCTGTTTAAATTTTCTGACTGTGTTAGCTCAGACATCTCAGAATCAATCCAATTTGCAAGTGGCATCAATGTGGATGGAAGAAAAGTAAAAGTTATATTTATGGAGTAATACTTGAAAATTTAAATGTGGAGCAAACATTTTCTATTTTATTCAATTCTACCATATATCATATTTAAGTAGAAAATGAGCTTTGTTTATGTTATTGATTTCAAAATATAAACAGTTGAGTTTTTACAATGATATATTTATTCCACACATCACCAGTGAGATTTGCTTCAATTTGACTAATATTTGTCAAATGGCATATTGGCGAGCAAGAAACAGAAAGCAATTCCTGCACAAGCTTTTGAGTAGAATTAAATGTTACAACTATTAACAGAGGTCAGGCAAGGTGAAAACAACCAGCAAGAGATGTTGAGTGACTTAAGGATGAACAGCGCAGAAACCCAGTGGCAGCCATTGCTTCAGTCACCAAACCAGCCAGGGAGGAAATCCCTTGTCTTCCCTTTGATTGCAGCCTTCAATTCCGCTACTAGTGCTTCTCGTTGGCCCAACCAAATTGGAAGCCAGAGGCCAACAGAGCCCGGGGGATACAGTCCACAGGATCAATTTTTCTCACCTCATTAAATGAGTGTGCAAAGAATAGAAAACTGGGGACTAGGAATGAGAAATAGTTACCTGCATAAGGGCCTATCAGGCACTGTGGTAGGTATTGTAGGTACGAGGATGAGTAAGTTTAGTTTCTACTCTAAAGGAACTCACAACATAGTGAGGAAGTCAAACATATAAATATGATAAGATATCTGTTACTTGAAATTGAAAGGTATTGTAAAGGAGTCCAGATATTTAGTCAACTCACCTTGTCCCTGCCTCACTTTATTAGTGACTACCATTCATTTGGTGGAAGTACTAGAGGTTGACAATCTAGGATTTGTAGAAGCTGGAAAATGCCTTTATAGAATGTATTGTATATTCGTAATTTCTTAATAAGATAAAATTCAGAAATTGCAAGATTTTTCTTGGTAAAGATGAAATTATTTCCTCATGTGACCCCTTTTTTCTTCATGCCCCTTTATGCTGCAGATGTGTTAATCATCTTTCAGTCTTTGAAGTGCTGTTGTCTCTCATGATTTTTGTCCTTTCCTCTCCCTGCAACCCCTGATCCTCACTATTACCCACCACTTTTCTTCTGTCTAATTGCTTCATTTGTTAGCCTAAATGCCTCTTCTGCTAGGCTGGAATATATCTCTGACTATCCTAGTCATCTGCCTACCATTTGCTTTCATTAGTACACTTTTCCTTTCCTGTATCTTCAGGCTATAACTTGTAATATAATTGTTTTTATCTTCCATACTTATCTCTGAACTATTGATTGGAAGAATTATGTCTATTTGTATTGTTTTGTTGACCGTCATATCCTCATATATAATCACAGTGCCAGGCATGGAATAGAACACAAGAAACAATAAATAAATACATTAAGGAAAGACTGATATATTATAATTACTGATTACATATAGTGACTAACATCAGAATAAATGTTTCATGTTGGTGATGAGTAAAATATAAGGCGGGGCTGGTATAGATGAAGAGAAGATATTATTAAGATTTATGAATGCTAGAATAATTCTAAAGTAATAATAATAATGAATAGGTCCTATTTAATTCAAATCAAGAATTCTGAAGCAGTTGAGTAATATTAAAGAGCAAATATGAGGACTACTAGTCAGGTATTTTAAATAACTTTGAAGGTGACTTAGATGAAAATGGTAAACAAATTTTGGACTCCCACTTAAAAGAGATTGGGTATACAGTTGGAATGGTTCTTCCTGATTTTTTTTTTGTTTATTTAGTCTCAATTTAATGAAATTTTATAGAATTTTCTCTGGTACACTGTATTTCATTATCTAGCCAGCACATAATGATGTTTAATACTCTCATTTGTCTTAAAAATTTTGCATTTGTTTTTCACCTAATTTTTATGTAGACCTATATTGCAGGAATGTATTGAGAGTTTCAGCTCAGACATATATTGATGGAATGATATTCCATTAGTTTGCTGATGGGAGTCATGATATAGCATGGAGGGACACAAAAATTCAACAGCACTAAAGAAAGTGTCTCAAGAGATGCAAATCAATGGCAAAAGTTGCAGTAATATCATTATTTAATCTCTCATGAATCTATTGATTCACTCTTGTAATGAGAAATTAGCTATTATAGACTTAGGAGGCAAATATTGGAAGAAGATTGTAAAATGATCAACATTACTAATATCAGTAGTAATTGATAATCACTAACATGCATATTAATACTAGTTAATGCTTAAAGCAATATATGTCAAGTATTCTGTTCCTCTTTTAATTTTTTTTACTTTGCCCATGTTGTGATTTATTTCAGAATCCAGGCCTATAGATCAGTGATAATAATAATAGGGCTATGATAAATGTCATGGGAATGCCATCCTGCATAGGATACTGTCTTCTCCATAAGACAGTAGGGCTCAGCGGAGCAGGAGACATTAGCCACCCCTCAAGGTCTTTTTGATAGCATTCTTGACTTCCTGGTTCCTTAGGCAGTAGATGAATGGATTTAGCATGGGTGTGAGGACTGCATAGACAGCTGAGATTAGTTTGTTGGAATTAAATGATGCAATAGCTCTGGGCCGAACATATGTAAAAATCATGGCTGTGTAAAAAATTATGACTACAGTGAGGTGAGATGCACAGGTGGAGAAGGCCTTCTTCCTTCCCTGGGTGGAGGGTATATGCAGAATGGCGGAGACAATGTAGATATAGGAGAGGATAGTGGTAATGAGAGGGATCACAAGAATGACGATAGCTAAAGCAAAGTCCACTAGCTCAGCTGTGGACATGTCTTTGCATGCCAGTTTTAGGACTGGTGAGATATCACAGAAAAAGTGGTTCATAACATTGGAGCCACAGAAAGCAACATGTGAAATGAAATAGACCTTGATGACAGAGATCATGAAACCACTCATGTAAGAGAAAGCCACCAGCTGTCCACAGTAACCTGTGGTCATGATGACTGAGTATTGAAGAGGGTGGCAAATGGCCACATAGCGGTCATAAGCCATGGCTGCCAGGAGCACACACTCTGTGCAGGCAAGGGAGATAAAGAAGTAGAGCTGGGTCATGCAACCTGTGAAGGAGATGCGCTGTCTCTGCAGGAGGAATCCGTCCAGCATCTTGGGGACTGTGACAGAGACATACCAGACCTCCAGAAAGGACATGCTACTCAGGAAATAGTACATTGGCTTATGGAGGGAGCTAGTGACCCAAATAGTGAGCATGATGACAAGATTCTCCACTACCACTAACAGGTAGACCACAAGGAAGAGAAAGAAGAGCAGAACCTGAAGCCATGGGGCAGTGGGAAAGCCCACCAGGATGAACTCACTGACCACAGTAATGTTTAGCTGCAGCATGATTAAAAGCACTGAAAACATTGAAGTCTTTCCTTGTAACATTACAAATAGTGAAGATGACCATGGCATGAAACATAAGACAAAAGAATGTTCATAATTCAGTCTTCCCTGTGAATGAGATGTGTAAAATAATTTATGTTAATGGGAACACATCTTCAAAGGTGAAGCAAACATTTTCATTAATTCTTTTTTAAGTGCACTTCCATCCCAACTCTCACGTACTTGATGACAATGATTGAAATCTCAATATTTACATCATTCCTAGCTCCTTTGGCAATGAACATAGACCCATTTTTCTCTCCCATGTTGATTTCAGTTATCTGTTTCATTAGGAACTCACTGCACAAACATTTGTTCTTACCTGAAAGGAAACATAAATGTTAATATCAAGTCAGAAAGTTAAGAAGTTTAATATTTGGGTGATCCTGGGCCTTGATCTAGGAAAGTTTATTTAGAGTCTGAGGAAATTTTAAAATTATAGTAACTATTGGAAAAGTTCTTAATGACTCTTGCATTGACTTCATATTAAAATGCAGAGGTTTTAGTTATCACACACAGGAGGCACTTCATATTTTGATCCTTACCTATTTCTTCAGCTTCATCTCTTGTGGCCCTCTAAGACAGTAATAGTCCATGCTCCAGACATACTGAATTAGTTTTTGCTCCCCAAGCACACAGTCATCTCTCTGACCTTCTCGGCTCTGCATAGTCTCTTCCCAATTCCTACTGCACACTCCCTGATCTTTTTCTGCTGATTATAGATTCATAACTCCATTTAGGAGGCATCTACACAGACTGGGTCAAGTACATCATCAGCATTTTCTTCCCAGTGCACAGCCTTCACATACGTCAAGTTTTTTCCCTGTTGCACTGCAAACTTCCAAAACTCAAAAACTTGTCCTTCATGACTGTGAGCCAAATGCCTAGAACAGTGACTGGGAAACACATAAGTTTTAATTGAATATGAACTAGTAAGTGAATTAATAAATCCTGTGGTGCTTTGGGAATCACAGGAAATAGGTCAGAGACAGAAGGAAGTGATTATCTTGGTCTACACTGGCAGGAAGCATGTATCTATACACTGCCTATCTTTGAAACATCCACTGCTTGCCTACCCAGATACTTTAACGACAAACACATCCCTAATGTCTGAGCACATTATATCTGAGCCTTGGTGTTAACTCACTTGGTAGGTCCTTGTTTCTAAATATCAGCTATCTTATTTTGTGCTCTTGTCCAGAAAGGTATGGAGAGGAAGGAAGGAACATGCATGCTGAAGGATAGGTAGATCTTGTAATGCTGGGAGGCAGAAATTTTTTTGTGAGCTAGACCAAATAGCTTACTAATTGATTTTGTTAAATGTCCCCTATTCTTACAGCATACATTCAGGTGCTGCATTCAGACGATTGTTCATTTTTTCTGACAACTTCTTGTCCACTATGTTCATCTCTTGGCACGGAAAGAGTGGTAGGTCAATCAGGGTTCATTCTGACCTTCCCCTGGACTAGAGATATTTTGGGCATAGCTCATGGGAAGGAATAAATGATGGGATGTTAAATGCATATTATTGGCATCACTGTCTTTTTTCCACAGCAGCACACACTGGCAGAGTTCAGGACTCTTTGCTGGGTGGGGAAAGATTGTTCCTTACTCCCAGGTTCCAGGCTGCACTTTACTCATAGTTTACTAGCAAAGAGTTCCTGGCCTAGTTATTCAATACCTTTGATCAAATGTTTTTATTGGGGAAAAGAAACTGTTCTGGGAGCAGAGAGTAGCTAGCTTTACTCATGATCTAGCCCCAGTAGGAAGGATCACCAATGTAGAGGCTTCTACTCTTTAGAACTTTTGTAACAATCCAGGATTCCATCATCAGCCACACAGTGTACCAAAAATTCACCTCTGCATAGAATTTAAGCACACTGATTTAGAGTCAGAACAATATTTCAGTCTTATTTTCATTTCACAATAGTTGTGTCATACCAAACAGATCGTTTAACAATTACGTAATTCCATATCCTCTCCTGTAAAATGAGAAAAGCTATAATAATGCCTACCTTTCTGGATTGTGTTGTGATAATTAAATGTGCGAATGCATGGAGGACTTTTAACATAGGACTTGATCCAAAGTTATTCCCTACAAGCATGAATTGTTATTATATCATATTAGACCCATACCTGTTTACTTATTTAGACATGCTCACGTGTTTTCACTCACATATATTCATAAACACAGTCATTCTCTCTTTACTCACTTTTCCTGTTATATTCTGGAGAATAAAATAACCCCAAATTTCTGGAGAACAGGATTATAGACCACTTATGCCTTATTCCTAGTTCACACTTTAATAAATTGTTTTTATTACTTAAGCATATCCATGTTTCCTTCACATTTTCCTCCACTTTTTAAAGCAAATGTACTTCCAGAATGCTCTGCTTTGAAGCATGTGAGGATAAAGAACAGTCTCATTCTGACGTTTCTGTTTTAGATCCAAAGCCTTAAACTATGGGCTCGCTACTAGGGGAGGGAATATCCTAGGGGAAGAAAAATGCTTTGTTATACATAAGACTTCTTTTTTACAGTTATGATCATACTTGTACTCAAGAGACAATATCAACTCTCAAGACTACTTCAAGAACAAGCAACATATCCCTTATGTACTTGTCCAACATTCAGAAGATCCGGAGCTGCACCAATATTCCCATCTTTGAGTAAAGATGTACTGGTTCTCATTTCCCATTTGCCTCACCACACCAACATACTCTTTATCTGTTCAGTAATGATACCTCTGGTCATTTTCCCAAGATCTTCCTCATCTTCCTTGGAGCGTTCTTCAGGAATCAGCCAATCTGTCTTGATGTCTCCTACCACTCATCATGGTCTGTCTGTCCTTACTCTGAGAATATAAAATTCTTCAGACATTGACACTGATCATGATAAAGCAAACTAGTCTACAGATTCGTATACTTTCTATAGAAGCGTGTATGGCCCTTGCTTGCTCTACATGGTAGTTATTGTGGCTCTAAGGTATGAAGACATGAGAAGGGACAGAATAATATATTCAGCTCTAGCCTACTCTTTCCCCATGTCTTCTCCCCAGGGACCAACTTACAGTCTTTCCTAGCTCTAGGGAAACTTGGTGTGTACTGCCAAGATATGTCCAGGGGACCTGGGAAGCTGAATCCCCAATCATATCTAAATTCTTGTTTAATCCTGAATGATTGTTATTTGTACCTATGAATATGATGTGGTCCTTTTCACTTAGTTTTATATGCAAGGTGATATAGCAAGTGACTCAGAAACCACAATAAGAAACGTAAGTGGGTTAAAGGTAATAGAGACATTTTTTTGGAGACAGAGTCCCGCTGTTGTCACCCAGGCTGGAGTACAGTGGTGCAATCTTGGCTCACCGCAACCTCTGCCTCCCAGGTTCAAGCAATTCTCCTGCCTCATCCTCCTGAGTAGCTGGGACTACAGGTGCTTGCCACCAACGCCCAGCTGATTTTTTTGTATTTTTTAGTAGAGACGGGATTTCACCTTGTTAGCCAGGTTGGTCTCCATCTCCTGACCTTGTGATCCACCTGATCCGGCCTCCCAGAGAGCTAGGATTACAGGTGTGAGCCACCTCGCCCAGCCTTTTTAATTTTTTTTCTCATTCTTTATATAAAATATGCTCCCTGCTTTCACTTATCTCATACTATGTATAGGGCAGTGTGCTATATATTCCCTGGAATAAAAACATATGTCCTGATTTCTATATTTTGGGAGCCTATGATGTTTTTAGTAAAATAAGAAATATATAGTATAGTTAAGATAGAATGTGATATGTGCCATAAGAGACGTACAAGCAAAATGCTCTGAGAACTCCAAGGAGGGACAAATTCTTTTTAACTGAAGAACTTGGGAAAAATTTCATCTAATAGATGTTATTTCAGACTCATGGAAGAAAGATAATTTGGAAGCAGTATTATGGAAAATAACTATTGTTCACCAATTAAAAGACTTGGTTTCTAATCTGGATTTCACTAACTTTTTTGACAATTGACCTCAGAAGCTTATCTTTATTCCTTAATTTATTCATCCATTAAATGGGTTAGCATGTTTTCCTTGTCAATATTTCCATTGTCAACAACTGACAATGTTTTCATTGTCAAGATAATATTGTCAGTATTATACAATTTATATTAGCATGAAAAGTTATAGTATAAGGGGAGTGATATCACCTAGATGGCAAAGTAGATCTCTGTTTTTGACCCCCACAATAATTAGACAGCTATCCATGAAAGTAGCTCTGGAGAAGTCAGGAGTCCATTTTAAAAGGTGTAGCAACTCAGTGCAGCAAAAAATTCTCAGAATAGTTACACAGAAATGTTAGGAAAAATATCCTTTTGTTGGCATCCCATTCCCCGGGCAAGAATGCTCCCCCCAAAAACTTCCCAGCCCAGGAGTGTCACTCACAGAAAAGGAGAACAGGGAAACCAACCAGCACTCTCACCATTTTGGAGCAGTGCCTGAAGGACCCACTTCTGTTCCACCCCACTAGTTTGCTGGTGAGACTGGGATGGCTGAGACATCTGGATATGGCTAGGAGTGAAGAAGGGTTGAGGCTACCAGCATTTGTGATGCAAGGGGAGCCTCTGCAGTTCCAGGTGACCTGTTCTGACCCCAGCAACTTCTGTTGTTCAGGGCATCAGCAGTGTTTGCAGCTGTCATACACCCCCTGCAGCTTTCACTAATGAGGACCCCGCAGTGTTTGTAGTCATGGACCTCAGCTGCCTCCTTCACAGAGGATCCCCCATAGTTTTTGTCACTAAGGGTGCTGTAGTTTCCACTCTTGCAGAGCTGAGCTGTCACCCTTCTCACTCACTCCTCACCAAAAGCTGCCCCAGGTGGTGATGCCATGGGACCTTGCAGCTAATCCCATAGCTGTGTGTGTGCACGCAGCTGACTGACTCCTACTACAAGCCCTCACCACTGTCCAGGCACCTGTGGATGACTCCTG